TACATTTCCATTTCTGGTATACTAAAGGATATACAAGACCAATAAAAAGTTGTGGGACTAGGTGTCCTGCACTATATGTTAAAAAAATTCGATAAATATGGAAGGTTACATGCATCAAAACTATTAACCCGAAATTTATTATATGTTAATTAAATCATTCGGAAAATTAATACAAATAAATATAGAATATAATAAAATTAAAAATAAATAATAGATAAAATAAATAGTTAAAAATAAATATAGATAACTAAAAATAAGAAATAAATATAAAATAATATAGAAAATATTACTCCGGATTTTCGGGGGCGAATTAAGGTAAACTAATAATCCGTAGTAAAAAAGTGACAGTTGGTACCATTAAAGGAATTTCTAATTATTTTACTTTCATGTAGCCATCTGGTGACAAAGATAGATATATAGCAGCGTATGAAATACCTAATTTTGGGAAATCAAAAAATATTCAATTTTTGATATTAAAAAACTTCTGAAAAATAATAATATTTATTAATCAACCAAACATTACAGTCATTAATCAAACAACACCTCAATCAGAATGGAAAATATCTGTTCCTTCAGAAGTTGACCCATCAATTCAAAAATTGTCTGTTCCTGAAGCTTCAAGAGAAAAATTTGGATTTCACTGGAAATAAACTACACAGTTATCCTGTTTCAGACAATAATTCTCTGTTGCTAAATAATATGAATTTGAAAAATCTCTTGGATGAAAAATTGGAACCTGGATTTGCTCTAAAGAGTATGGGAAGAAAGGTAGTAAGAAGTTTGATTTAAATGCGATTGAACAATTAAAAATCATGTTTTTGGCTGGTAATATAGAAAAAATACTCTCCGAGAATATGTTAAAAGAACTTTAAAGACTTGTTGGAACTGACGAATTAGAAGCTGAAAATAATCCTTCTCGTCAACATCACAAAAGACAGGCGGTTGAAAATACATCATCTAATTAATAAGTAAAAAAATTTTTTTTTATTTGTTCTTATTTTTGAAGACAATAAATCATATGTTTTTAATAAATAAATACTACCGTTACACGGAACATGTAAAAATTTTTATATGAAAATTCTTAAAAATCTACAGGTGCTAAAGAGTAAACTTTTTTTTTACTTAAGTAAAGACTAAAAAAAAACTGATAATATGTTCTTTGGGATTTGTTTTGTTTGTGGATGTAAAAAAAAATCATGTGGTGAAACAAAACCATAGTACAACTTTTCATGCAAAGGTACTCAATTAGCTATTTTTGTGTCAATTTTCCCTCGTTTTTTACTATATACGACTCACTCATTTATTTGCGGATCATCAATTAAATTTCATTAATCAAACCTAATTCATATCAAATTGATTCATTTATTATCTATTCTGTTTTATTATTTATTTAAAATGTCATTAAATAAGAGAAAA